TTTGACAGAGAAGGGAACATCTTCACGCAGCCAGGTTGAGGGCTGTGTAGTGTAATCGCTATTCATGTGTGGCTCAGGGGTAAAATGGCCCCTAAAAGGGACAAGGGAAAAGTAAAGGAAAACAGCTGGCCAAACGCAAGGCACGCAGACCTTCCCCCTCAGCTTTGTCATCATCTTCTGATGAGGAGGCCTGGCCAGTCTGGGAAGAGCTGTGTCTTAAAATAGCTGTGCTAGAGAAGCAAAGGGCAGAAGGTTCAGACAAGGAGACTAGGGGTGACCAACCTAGTGAAAGAATTTAAGGTGCACAAGAGAGCAAAACCCAAGGGTCTAGCTGATGATCTCTTGGCATCCCTAGAGGCTAATAATCAAAATTCATCTGGATCAGATAAAACTACAGCAAATCGGATGACAGAAGAACCAGAAGGTCCATCCATGGGGAGAAGGGTCAATCAATTGCGCACATCCACAGCAAGGAAAGAAGACTGGAGAAGTGACGCAGGTCCAGAGGCCAGATCAGAATGGGAGTTGCCCTTCACAAGCAGGGATAAGGCTGGAAATCCCGTACTGGGTGAGCTTGCCATTGCACTGGACACCAGTGGAGCTCTGCCAGTATGGCCTTGCAGTATAGGCACACAGTGGTTTGATCAATTGGCTGCACAAGTAGGCTCAGGCATACAAAGAGGGCCAATGGGTCAGGGGGCACACCTAGTTGGACTAGATTTCAGTTGATCTGCAGTGATCGTCTCCATCCAATTTGCTTTCAGGCCTGAATATGATTCAATTTGGAAATTTGGATTGCCAGTTCACAATTGACCTGCATATGAAAAACAAAAGGGTTTTCTCCCTGTGTGTATTTTTGTTCCCTTGCTATGAAATATAAAGCAAAATGTAAACCTGGCAAATTTCAGAAAGCTACCTTCAGACAAAAGGCACTTATTAAAACGTCTATGTTTGGATGCTCAACTGTGAGCAAGGTCCTAAATGGTACAGCATGACTCAGGATACAAGGCAGATCATAATGGAAGTTAAAGTTGCCTTCCTTTCCTTTTTTTTTGAGGGGGGGGGAGGTTCTTGTAGCCAGTTAGGTGCTTCAAGGATCCTTACAATATTCAGGCCTTCCTTCTGCACACATTCCACTTCCCATAACAATAAATATTATCAAAGTTCTTTTGGAGGTCTGGAATGCAGATCCTAGGGAATGTAGTGGGAGAGGCAGCCCAATCACACAGGGCTTTCAAATATCATTTCCTCTATTTCCAATTTTCTCCTTTTAAAAATTAAATAATACTTGTAGAAATAGTGACATTTTCATAGATATGTGAAGTGTGGGCCACTTTATAGTAGAGATGGAAGACATTTGAATTATGATTTTTTTAAAAAAATGAATTTAACAGATTCCTGGCCTACAAGGTTTCTAATGGAAATACATGTAAATATTTTTCAGTTTACTGTCATGAGAAGGGAAACATCAAATTCCCCATTTTCCATTTCCAATAATGTGTGAATAAATCAGCCCACTGCTCTGAAAATTTCCCTTCCTCTGCTGGGCCTGGTAGGAAGATTCCTCAAACTGAGGGCCAGTCTCTCTCGTCCTCTGTCTCTATTGCCTGCTCGGCCCACTGACTGCAGAAGTAAAAAGTGTCCATCTAAATAATGCACTAAAGCAGGCTATAATCAAAGGAGGTGTACATGCTAAGAAAAATGCATCCAACTGCATGCATTATGCAAAAGTGCATCCCAACATATGCTCATGCATGGAAAAAAGTTGAACAGAGTGATATAGAACTTAGATGGGATGTGAATACTGATGGAATGCTGAGAAATGCAATGGAATCTAACACAAATGATTTTCACAGCCCTGCCTCTCTGGTGGTGGTGGTGGTGTTTTTGCTGCGCCAGTGCACCACGTCCCTGCAGTAAAAGAGGCCGGTAACCGCTATGTGTCCCCATCCACCCACCATACTTACGTCCCCAGTGCTGGAAAGAGACCACGTCCCCAAGTGTCCCCCAAGAGCCGCCCGAGGGTCTGCCCCAGTCCCTCCCCTTTGCTCTCAATGAAATCACTGTTTAGCAAAATCATTGTCTAGTGAAAAGCATTTCCCCATTGGAATGCATTGAAACCTGTTTAATGCCTTCCAATG